TCCGACTTTTTGCGACCCTATGGGCTGTAGCCTACCAGGATCCTTTGTCCATGGAATTTTCCAGGCAAGAGTACTGGAGTGGGTTGCCATTTCCTTCTCCATATCTTGTAGTTTTGATTTATTGTTCAGCATTTCCCTAATGATTAGTGCTGTTGAGCATTCTTTTTATATGGTTACTGGTCATTTGTACATCTCTGGAGAGAATTCTACTTATTCCTTCGCCTGTTTTTGAATTGTGTTTTGTTGTCACTTGTGTTGTAAGCATTATCTAGATTTTAATTCCTTATCAGACATGATTTGCAAGTATTATCTCCCAGTCTGTGGATTGCCTTTTTATCTCATTGATAGTGTCTTGGCACAAAAGATTCTCACAAAGTTTGCCTATGTTTCCTTTTGTTGCCTATGCCTTTTGTGTAATATCCAAGAAATCATTGCCAAATTGAGTGTTTTGAAGCTCTAGTCCTATGTATTCTTTTAAAAGTTTTAGTGTTAAGTCTTTATGTGGCTTGTGGGGTCTTAGTTCCTCAACCAGGGGTTGAAACCATGCCTTTGGCAGTGGAAGCATGGAGTCCCAATCACTGGACTGCCAGAGAATTCTCTAAGTCTTACATTTAGGTCTTTGATACAGCTGACCTGTCTCCTGAGAAATTTATGCTGGTCAAGAAGTAAGTAAGTTAGAACCAGATGGGGAACAATAGACCAGCTCAAAATTGGGAAAGGAGTACTATAAGACTGTATATTGTCACCCTGCTTATTTAACTTACACACAGAGTACATCAAGAGAAATGCCAGACTGGATGAATCACAAGCTGGAATCAATATTGCCAGGAGAAATACCAACAACTTCAGACATGCAGATAATAACACTCTATTGGCAGCAAGTGAAGAGCAACTAAAGAGCCTCTTGATGAGGGTGAAAAAAGACAGTGAAAAGGCTGGCTTGAAACTCAACATTAAAAAACACACACACACACACACACACACACACACACACACACACACACAACACCGTGGCATCCAGTCCCATCACTTCAGGGCAAATAGAAGGGGAAAAAGTGAGAGATGTTATTTTCTTGACCTCCAAAATCATTGTGGTGATTGCAGCCATGAAATTAAGATGCCTGCTCCTTGAAAGGAAAGCTGTGACAAACCTAGACAACATAATAAAGAGCAGAGACATCACTTTGACAACAAAGGTTCATAGAGTCGAAGCTATGGTTTTTCCAGTAGTCAAGTAAAGATGTGAGTTGGACCATAAAGAAGCCTCAGAGCTGAAGAACTGACGCTTTCAGATTGTGGTGCTAGATTCTTGAAAGTCCCTTGGACAGCAAGGAGCTCAAACCAGTAGATCCTAAAGGAAATCAACCCTGAATGTTCACCAGGACTGATGCTGAATTCTCAATACTTTGGCCACCAGATGCAAAGAGCTGACTCATTGGAAAAGACTCTGATGCTGGGACAGACTGAGGGCAGGAGAAGAGAGCAGCAGAGGTTGAGACGGTTAGATAGCATCACTGATTCAATGGATATGAATTTGAGCAAATTCTGGGAGATAGTGGACAGAGGAGACTGGTGTGCTGCAACCCATGGGGTTGCAAGAGCTGGACATGACTTAGCGACTTAACAAAATGTCCAACTTCATGCTTTTTTTTTTTCCTGTATTGGTCATGACACTTGGTATGCAGGATCTTAGTTCCCCGAACCAGGGATTGAACCCTTGCCCCCTGCATTTAAGTATGGAGTCTTAACCACAGGACTGCCAAAGAAGTCCTCCACCTTCACACTTTGGCATGTGGCATCTAGCTCTCCCAGCATCATTTACTGAGACTTCCCTTTCTCCACCAATCTTGACAACTTTGTCAAAAATCACCTGGCTATTTATGTGATGGTTCATTCCTGGGCTCTCTATTCTATTCCATTGGTCTATATGTCAGTCTTAAAGCCAATAGCACAGTTTTGATTACTGTTGTTTTTGCAGTAAGTTTTCAAACTGGAAAATGAGTCATCCAGTTTAATTCCTTTTTCAGGATTGTGCTGGCTGCTCAGAGTCCCTTGAGATTCCTTATGAAATTTAGTATGAGCTTGACAATTCCTAGAGGAAAAAAAGAAACCAAGATTTTGACAGTGACTGCACTGGTCTGTAGAGTGCTTTGAGTAATACTGTTTTCATAAGTCTTCTAATCAGTTAATTTCTTTCAGCATGTTTTGTAGTTTTCTTTGTACAAGTCTTTCTCAAACACAACACCGTGGCATCCAGTCCCATCACTTCAGGGCAAATAGAAGGGGAAAAAGTGAGAGATGTTATTTTCTTGACCTCCAAAATCATTGTGGTGATTGCAGCCATGAAATTAAGATGCCTGCTCCTTGAAAGGAAAGCTGTGACAAACCTAGACAACATAATAAAGAGCAGAGACATCACTTTGACAACAAAGGTTCATAGAGTCGAAGCTATGGTTTTTCCAGTAGTCAAGTAAAGATGTGAGTTGGACCATAAAGAAGCCTCAGAGCTGAAGAACTGACGCTTTCAGATTGTGGTGCTAGATTCTTGAAAGTCCCTTGGACAGCAAGGAGCTCAAACCAGTAGATCCTAAAGGAAATCAACCCTGAATGTTCACCAGGACTGATGCTGAATTCTCAATACTTTGGCCACCAGATGCAAAGAGCTGACTCATTGGAAAAGACTCTGATGCTGGGACAGACTGAGGGCAGGAGAAGAGAGCAGCAGAGGTTGAGACGGTTAGATAGCATCACTGATTCAATGGATATGAATTTGAGCAAATTCTGGGAGATAGTGGACAGAGGAGACTGGTGTGCTGCAACCCATGGGGTTGCAAGAGCTGGACATGACTTAGCGACTTAACAAAATGTCCAACTTCATGCTTTTTTTTTTTCCTGTATTGGTCATGACACTTGGTATGCAGGATCTTAGTTCCCCGAACCAGGGATTGAACCCTTGCCCCCTGCATTTAAGTATGGAGTCTTAACCACAGGACTGCCAAAGAAGTCCTCCACCTTCACACTTTGGCATGTGGCATCTAGCTCTCCCAGCATCATTTACTGAGACTTCCCTTTCTCCACCAATCTTGACAACTTTGTCAAAAATCACCTGGCTATTTATGTGATGGTTCATTCCTGGGCTCTCTATTCTATTCCATTGGTCTATATGTCAGTCTTAAAGCCAATAGCACAGTTTTGATTACTGTTGTTTTTGCAGTAAGTTTTCAAACTGGAAAATGAGTCATCCAGTTTAATTCCTTTTTCAGGATTGTGCTGGCTGCTCAGAGTCCCTTGAGATTCCTTATGAAATTTAGTATGAGCTTGACAATTCCTAGAGGAAAAAAAGAAATCAAGATTTTGACAGTGACTGCACTGGTCTGTAGAGTGCTTTGAGTAATACTGTTTTCATAAGTCTTCTAATCAGTTAATTTCTTTCAGCATGTTTTGTAGTTTTCTTTGTACAAGTCTTTCTCACTTATGCTTAACTCCTAAGTATTTCTCTTTTTTGGCAGTATTGTAAATATAATTATTGTAATATCAGGTTTTGGGGGGTTTTTTTTTGCCATACCATATGGCTTGTGGGATCTTAGTTCTTCAACCATGAATTGAACCTAGGCTCCAGCAGCAAAAGTGCAGAGTCCTAAGCACTAGAATGTCAGGCAATACCCTGTAATCACTTTCAGATCACTCACTGCTCATAATAGAAATGTGACAGCTTTTTCTGTGCTTTTAATCTTGCTACTTTGCAGGGCTCATTTATTAGATCTAACAGCTTTTCTTTGGTGTGGTATCTTTAAGATAGTCTATGTATAAGACCATATCACTTTCAAATAGATCATTTACTTTTCCCTCTCTAATTTGTAGGCCTTTTCTTTTTCCTGACTAATTGCTCTGGCTAGAACTTTCAGGACTATGTTGAATAGAAACGGTTTAAACAGGCAGGCATCTTTGTCTTGCTGCTGACCTTAGATGAAAATCTTCCGGTCTTTCACCACTGGGTGTTGTTTGCTGTGGATTTTCTCATATAGATTTTACATTAAGGCGGTCTCCTTCTATTCCTACTTTGTTGAGTGTTTTTTCATGACAGGTGTTGAATTTTATCTTTTTTTTTTTTTTTGGCATCTTTTCAGATTATGTGGTTTTTCCTATCACTTTGTTGATGTGGCATGTAACACTGATGACTTTCATGTGTTGAACTTTTGCATTCCAGGGATATATCCCACTTAGTCATGGTGTTTAATCCTCTTGATATGCTGCTGAATCCTGTTCGCTAATATTCTGTTGATGATTTTCAACATCAGTGCTCATAAAGGATACTGTATTTCACTTTTCTTTGTTGTGTGTGTGGTTTTGGTGTTGGAGTTATACTGGCCTTCTAGAATAATTTGGTAAGTGTTCTCTCCTCATCTTGGGGGGAGAATAGTTAGCATACTTTTATGAGCTCTGTTACATGGACAGCCCTGCCAGGCTTTGTTACATGCTTAGAATTCAGGCAGGATTTCACAATGATTTTTCTTACTTCTAAGTGGTTCTTCCTCCACTTTTGCTTTTCTGGTCACTAAAACACACACACCCCACTGCTGGTGACCTTGTGACCAAGATTCATGTGTATCTGATGTAATCTGCTTTGAAGACCCAGCAGTTGAGCATGGGAGCCAGATGGGGACAGTGACTCCTCCTGAGCCTCCTTGGCCCCAATAAAATGTGATGCAGGCATCTAGCCTGCAAGCCAGTTTGCAAGTTGTGGGCCCGAGTAGGGACCAACATCAGAAGCTCAACTTCCGCAAATGGAAGGGCCAGTCTACACAACACGGACACCAACACATCAACCTTGATGATGTGTTTGGTTGCTCTTTATGCAGCTCTCAGCCCACCCAAAACACCCATTACCTACAGGGGCCTCTCCCCACTGCACTTCACTGACTCATTTCTGCGGAACCCGCATCAAGTGCTTCTCCAAAGCCAGTGCATAGGCCATCTGCACAGAGTGGAGACACAGGGGATTTTATGTTCGGGGCTGAGTGAAGAGGCTTTATTGAACATTTCAGAGTTCCTTCTGTACATATTCTTTGCAGAGCAGCTTACTTTAATAAGCTGGATCTAATAATGTCACAGTTCATGTTGAAAGGTGCTATGCATAAGTCAGTCTGAAAATGAAAACAATGCAGCAAGGACCTGCATTCTAGAAAACTGGGAACCGATTGTAGAGCTAAATGAAATAGTGTAGGGTGCAAGTTTTACCTTCAGCTACTGAAAACTCTGAGGTCTTCAAACACTGGTGAGACTACCTGCGTGCACTCCAGAGGGTAAAGTGAGACACTGAAGGGTTGACTCGGAGCTGCTGCTCACACAGCATGTCCAGCAAAGCTCCTGGTTAGACTGAGCTGAGTTTTCTCAGGGAAAGAAGTGGAGTCCAGGCTGCTGCTGCTGGGATGTTGCTAAAGGAGCCCGGAGCTGCCATCCCCGGGGAACATGACAGCACCTCCCTTCTGCCCTCTGCACCTGGGGCACAGAATTAGTCGTGACACCATACACGGCTGTTCTAGGAGAGAAAACAGCAAGATTCCTCTCACCAAGACTCAGAGCTTCAGGAAGCAGGGCCCAGCGGCAGGAAGGCTACCAAGAGCCTTGCACTGAGACAATGCACTGAGTGTATGTGTGTGAGAGTTGGGTGGGCTACAAAGAGGAGGGGTGTGTGTGTGTGTGCACACTCTCACTGAGACACTGTGCTGAGTGTGTGTCTGAATGTGTCTGAGTGTGAGAGATGGGAGGACTACAAAGGGAAGGTGCCTTGAGGTCTAGGGAAACTTGCTGCCATCCTGCTGGTCGTGGCCAGTTTGGGGCTATCTCTGCTGCAGGGCAGGGCTTCCTCCCAACAGAAGCTACAGCAGAAGACACAGCTTTCCTTCAACTTCAACATGAAGGCTACAGCAGCACCATGAACTTTCAGGTAGAACTAAGACGGCATTTCTCCAGCCTCCAAGGGCACGTGTGTGAGCTCTGGTTCCAGCCTGGCAACACAGGAGCACCAGAAACACCCCAGAGGCACCCACAGTCCTTCAAGGCGGGCGCTCCCAAGTCTGCCACCTCACCGCTCGTTAGAGCAGGTCCAGTGCACATTCTCACACTGGCCAGTACTCGCTCTGGACATCTCTGCTCTGGAGAAGAGGCTGTGTGAGCACCCAAATTCCTAAGGAAACACCCACACAGGTACCTGCACCCCTCCAGGGCAGCGTCACACACGCACCACCCCCACAGCCATGTGCCCAGAGCGGGTACCCACATGGCTGGCCTGTGTCCCAGGACGCTTGCTGTCCCTCCAGCGGGGGCTGCATCCCTGCCGGGCACTGCACCTCGTCCCAGGTGCTGACAGGGAACAGAGCATCCAGGCCATGCCACTGCTGCTGGGACACAGGCAACCTTCCCAAGACAGGTTACAAGAAGGGGGATCACACGCCCTGAAAGCCATGCTACAAACATCCCTGCTGTATCTCAGCAGGAATCCTTCTCCAATCGTCTGAACTGGGTTGGTATTTTCAGTATTTTCAGCATTTTCAGTACTTCAAGGCTGACACCTGGTGAGTCGAGATGCCCCAAATTTAGGACACTTTCTCTGTGTCAGACTCAATGATTATTTCCTAATGAGGCTCATCTAAGACATGCATTCTCTTTGGAAGTCACAGCACAGAATCTCACACTCAGAAGAACTCGTCAGCAACTCAGGGCCAGGACTGACATCTCCATCAAAAGGCACTAATGTGGGGCTAACCCAACTGCAGAGAAGACAGCCGTTTACAGTCCAAGGTGAATGAAGCAGGCAAACCAGTGCATCTGTGAACAGAGGCCACCTGTGCATCCCAGGACTCGAGTGTCCGCGTGTCCAGGAAGACCAGGGGAGCACAGCAGCCACAGATCTGCGGGCTGTGGAGAAACCAGTGAGTGAGCAAACGTGCACACATGGAGGCCTGACCGCTCACCATCCACCAAGAGGGTTTACACCCTTCCCACAGGCCTCCCCTGCAGCACTGCACAAAGGGTGCAGACGGCACTTGCAGTGCGCACACACCCGGAGCCAGGTCACGAGCCATTGTCTTCTGATCCTTTCTCTCCACCTCAGTTCCTGCCCTGCTTCTTGGAGCCCCACCCGTACCTTGGGGCGCGCTCCTCAGGAGGCCCCTCGGTCGTCCAGGGGCTTGTCACTCCCCACCCTGCAGACAGTTCTTGGGAGAGAGGTCGTTGTCCACATGGGGCTTGGCCTTCCTCCTCCTCCTCTGCTTCGTCAGGTCAGCCATGTGCTCTGGCCACAGGTGCCCCGCACTCCCGCGCCCTTGCTCTCTCCTCCTCTTGTACTCCAGGATCTGCTTGTTGAGTGCCTCGTGGTCAATCCCACACAGGTTGAAGTGTGCAGCAGGGCCCAGGGTGTCACTTGGCAAAGCCACATCCAGGGTCTCGGGGTCGCTGGGGGAGAAGGGGAGTTGTCACACCAGGCACAAATATCACATGGCGTACAAACACTCTGTTAGCCCCCTGCCCACACACCGCGCTGCCGCCTCTCTAATAGAACTGTGGAGCCAGCACAAAGCAGGGTTTGGTCCAGCAGTCTCCAGTCTAGCACTTCTTGACCAGCACCCCTGGAGCCTGTATGTGGCTCAGGCCACCATGCTCCTGATGCAGACATTCTGGGCTGACATCAAGTGTATTTTCATGGCTTCCCCACTTAAACATGGCTAGTGCGCTAGGCTAGTTAAACAGAATCATGGGGAGCTGGTCTTTAGTTACCTGATGAACCAAAAGAGAAGACAAGTCTATTCTGAGGGCAAAACCAGAGCAATCTTCACAAAACCCCAATTTGGCCACAGCACGCCCCTCACTCTCAGATCTGGAAGGGCTCCACACCCACAGGCGCTCCACCTGCCTCTCCCAGGTCTGCTCCTCACTGAGCTGGAACTGGGTACTCACTGCCACTCAGGGCTTCTGACCTAGCTCAGGGGTCCAAGTGTTACCCCCTACCCCCTGGCAGGCTGGCTCCTATAGGCCCTGGCCCCTGAGCCCCTGATGGTACCCAAGCGATGCTCACATAGCTGATCTAAGGATACAGGCTAGACACCCAGTGTAGCTGTTCCCTCACCTGAAACAGGTACCCCTCCACACCCCGAATCCTCACATCACCTTCTCAGAGGCCTATCCTGATATTCACTGCTTCCTAGCAAGATGCAGGCTCCAAAGACACTGCCATTTGTTCACAGCATTCCCTAAGCATTAGAACAGGCCTGCTGGGAGCAGGCACTCGACAGAAATGCACAAGGGAACGGAGAAGACGGGCTTCAACCACCAGCACTCAGCGTCCAGGCCCCAGCACTTCTGGTGGGCCTGGAGGCCCTCCTGACACCTCCCCAAGGTGCTGGGTAATTGGCCAGGCTGCCACTGTGGACTGCCATGGGCCAACACTGGGTTGAGCCTTAGGTCAAGACCCTAGGGCATAAAGCAGGGCCCACCCCCACACACTGGGCTGGGGGCAGGCAGGACTGTGCAGCGGTTGTGGAAACCAAAAAGCCCATAACTGTGTGTGCCCAAATCAAAAACACATGTCCACATGTTACCACCTGAAGTCACTTTGCACAAAGTCTTCTTTTTCATCCCGGGGTCCAAAATCAGCAATTGCCAGTAGCCGATCAATCTGAAACGCAACAGACAGTGGGTTACTGGAGAGCTGTGCTTCTCCACTGCTTGCACCCAAGAGGGGAGCCAGCACACTGCGAGTGTCAGGCCGCCCAGAGCCACGGCCACCTCAGGGCCCGGCCGTGTGACAGGGCTCCCTCCCTAACACTGCCCATGCCCGTGACCTTAGTTACACTTGTTCTGATAACGAACCGAGACTTCTCAAAAAACTATACTTAAAGCGTGTAAATGTTAGTCAAATTTACAAAGGAACCAGTTAAATATTAGTTGAATTACTGACACTTACTGGTTTCTAATGAGGTTCTGTAAAATGCTTCAGTTTTGCCACAGAATTTGCTTGGGGGAAAGAACCCCCCAGTGTGGCTATGTGGGAGTCACAAGGCCCAGCATTTGACTCCAGCTCTGTAGGGCATGAGGCGCCAAGACTGGAGATGTACTCTGCTCCTCAGCAGGGCCCAGCAAGGTCCCCCCACCTTCACCTGCCTGCTCTGATGCCGCCAGGTCCTCCCACCAGGGCTGTGCATGGAGACCTGACCTCCCACTTCAGTACAAGCCCAGCCAGCCTGACCCACAACCGGGTCCCGACATCCACATGAAGTCATCATCAACAAGTGACGCTATTAAAACCACAAGGTGAGAAGAGGCAGAATTGGACACGAGCCAGTCCACAGAAAACCCAGGAACAGGATGATGATGCTACATCGAGGACAAACTGGCCTCCTTGAGCTAACACTGGGAGTTAACTCACATTCCTGATGGCCAACGGTGCGGAGCATCTGAGCACGCACACTGGCAGGACCACCAGCAATGAGCACCCCTGAGTGTGCACACTGGCAACACCACCAGTGCCGGGCACTCCCGGGTGTGCACACTGGCACAACCAGTAGTTTTGCTGGATTATCTAGGCTTCAGTTTGGACATAGTTGATACTGGCCTCTTTCAAACATCTAGACCCGTGACCTGAAGACTGCATTCTATCCTGAGAACACAAAGTAAGCTGTTCAAACTGGAGCAGTAGCAACTACTTGCAACTTTTGTTGCAACCAACATTAGACAGAAATAAACCGACAGAAGACTCTAAGTTTCATCAAGAACTAATTTCAAATTTCTGTGTCTATCCAAGGTGCTTACCAATGGAGGATTTTACATCTTAAAAATGTACAGAGACTGAAAAACTCTGCTCTGACTTAGCCAGGGGAAGCAGTGACCATGCCCTTGACAATCACCTGCCCAAATCAGAAACCCACTCTGGTTCAGCCTTTACTCCTAACTACAGTGAGACAGAGTGCAGGATGATGCGTCCAGCCATGGCCTGACCTTCCCTTGGCGGCTCCACGTGCAGGACCCGCCATCACCCTGTGGCTCGTGTCCGACCCTTCAGAACTTCCCTTGGGCACATGTGGTAGGACAGACAGGCCTGAAGTGGACAAAGGCCCGCCAGAGACACACAAGCATAGAGGTGGGAGCACGCCCTCCCTCTAATGACTTCTCTGGAAAGGAACCCACACAGAGAGGGAGCACCTGGCAGCCATGACATCTTCCTCCACAGAGAGTGGGACGAGTCACGATTTAGCGAGAACAGGGAGCCCACCCTCCGGGACAGGCTGGACTCCTCCCGCAGCCCTGCATGGGGACTCCTGCTGGGGTCTGCACACCACAGCCCAAACCCCGCCTGGGCTGACTAGTGGCTCTGCATCTTCACTCCTGCTCCCCTTCTAGCAAGGAAGCCACACACCCACGAGGCTATTATCCAAATAGTGTTTCCAGTATAGGTGTATGACGAAAAATGAGAAACAATAATGTACAACCGGATCTTTCTTCCTCTGTGGACCTACGCACTACCTAGTCCTACAGTGAACACGCCACCGAATCCTCCTGCAATGCTGCTGGCTTCTTCAGTGAACCTGTGAGAGTGTAAGACGCCTTAATAACCAAGGAACTACCACCAGATGAAAAATGCATGTATGTTAACAGGGTTTTAACCTCTAAAACCTGTACTGAAAACAAGGAAAACAACTATGGAACAATGACAGTTCCAGGACAGAACCTAAGTGTGTCAGCCTTGATGGTGTAAAGTAACCACAGACAGACTGAAACTCAGGGAGGTGAGAGGAGGCGGCACGCTCAGGGGGCAGCTCCGACTGCGTCACATTTATGAACCTAGAGACGGGGTTGCAGTTTTTGAGTGTGATATTCAAACTACAACCACGGGGTTATAGTTTTGAGGGTGATTCTGACGAGCATCAAAAAATTAAAGCTATACAATGTGGCTTCCTCTGGGGAACTTGGGTAAGGACAGGGACACAGGAGCCCTACTTTTCATTTGTACATTTCCAAATATTACCTTTTAAAATCTGTACACAGGATTCTTTTGAATATTTAAAACTTAAATGTAAAACCTTATGCATACAAAAGTTGACACAGTAAAGACACAATTATGTAAAAGCCTTACCTCCATCACAGCTGCATATCTTTTGTCCTGAATAAACACTATGGGCGGCACGTTCCTCAGGGTCTGCTGAGACATCAGAAGATGCCTGGAGAGAAAATAAGGTTTGAGCAGTTGAAGTGACATCTGGCGGAGGGATGCCAGAAACAGAAATGTCATCTCACAAAGAGGTGAGACATTAGTTTTGTTCATCACAGTATTTGAGGATGAAAAATCTTCCTTAGCCAACTGCCACATTTCAATAGGGATATAAAATGCATAATCACAACTGTTTTTAATGCTCTAAATGCAGCTTTTGAGACCCTTATCAAGTCTGCCGTGAACTTGGGAGGGCCTGCGGGTGTCACCGCCAGCATCCACCCCTCCATTCACAGGCACCAGCAGCGGCTCCAAAGAAGGGTGGCCGCCAGGCCACCACCATCAGACGCCAGACACAGAGACACTGCTGGGACACACAAGTACAGCTGCTCAGCGACAGAACTGGTACACAGTCATGCAGATTTACACTAAAGCCTGGTGATCCAAAGAGGTGGGAAACATTCTGTTCAACTGACTTTTCTGATTGCTGCTGCTGTTTAGTCGCTTCAGTCGTGTCCAACTATTTGCGAACCCACAGACTGTAGCCCACCAGGCTCCTCTGCCCATGGGATTCTCCAGGCAAGAATACTGGAGTGGGTTGCCATGCCCTCCTCCAGGGGATCTTCCCGACTCAGGGATCAAACCCATGTCTCCTGCATTGCAGGTGATTCTTTACCACTGAGCTACCAAGGAAGCCCCACTTTTCTGATTACCTAAAAGCTAATAAGAAAATGCTCTTATCTCAACACTTGTTGGAAATCTCTTGTTTTCTTGTTTCTGCGAAACGTAAAAACTGAGAGTGACGAGCACTATGACGCCCAGCTTCAGAAACCACAACACTGTGAGGGATGCATAGCAGCTGAGCAAGCACGCAGGAGAACACCAGACCTGCAGGACCCTGCTCTCAGCATCTACCACCTCGCCTTCTAAAAAGAAAGTGTGGGGCTTCCCTGGGGTCCAGGGGTCAAGAACCCAGGGACACACGTTCAATCCCTGGACCAGGAAGAGCCCACACCCCATGGGGCAACTAAGCCCGTGAGCCCCAACTACAGAGCCTGTGCTCCGGAGCCCATGCTCTGTGACGAGAGTCACCCCTGCTCCCCACAACTGGAGAAAGCCCGTGTGCGGCATTGAAGACCCAGAGCAGCCAAAAATAAATAAAAACTTTAAGAAGAAAAATGGAAGCCTGCTGTACAGTGGAGGCAGGAGGCCCAGGGAGAAAGAGAAGAAAGAAGGAGAAAGCACAGTTCTGAGGTTTTCCGCATTTTAAAGACTGAGGAGAAAACTGATTAACTTTTTTCCTACCACCCAGCTCAGTGGTTCTCACAATTTTTGGTCTCAGAACCCCCTTAATACTCTTAACAATTACTGAGGACACCAAAGACCTTTTGTTTATGTGGGTTACATCAATCAACATTTAACACATTAGAAAGTGAAGCTGAAAAATATTAAAATATGTATTCATTAATTCATTCAAATAACAACTGTATTTTAAATGAGACTAAGAAGAGTGACACTGTTTGCTGCTGCTGCTAAGTCACTTCAGTGGTGTCCAACTCTGTGCGACCCCATAGATGGCAGCCCACCAGGCTCCCCCGTCCCTGGGATTCTCCAGGCAAGAACACTGGAGTGGGTTGCCATTTCCTTCTCCAATGCATGAAAGTGAAAAGTGAAACTGAAGTCGCTCAGTCGTGTCCGACTCTTAGCGACTCCATGGACTACAGCCCACTAGGCTACTCAGTCCAAGGGATTTCCAGGCAAAAGTACTGGAGTGGGTTGCCATTGACTTCTCCTGACACTGCTTACATGGTTTCAAATTTCTTTAAAACCCAGCATAATGGAAGTCAAGTAGTTTCTCACCTCTGTATCTGCATTCAATCTGTCCTACTATTTTGCTTAAAAATGAAGAAGGAAATGTAAGCTTGCGGGTCTGTAACTGAAAAAGGAAGAGTATGTAAACAGCCCTTCAGAAAGGTGTCGACGTTCTCTGATGCTACACAGAATCTCAACGAAAGTGGTTTATTTAAGGCTGCAATGTGGAATCTGAAACCAGAGGGATGGACAGGTCACTCTTGGTACATTAAAATCCTGTGATCCTCTTGCCCTCTGAATTGACCTTTCCCCATTGGTGATTCTGTAACATCACACATTGGTATTTTTCCAAAAATACTGATTTACCAAGTTACACAGATTTTCAGAATTGATGATGCACTTTACAATATATCATCTCCAATCTCATCAAAAGGGTCTTATGAACTGCAAAGCTGTCAAACTCATAGTAGTGGGTACAGGCTTTCTCAAATTCTCATTTTCACCAAAAGCTTGAATTTTATCACTGGTAACAAACATGGTCAGTTGTTTTCTTGAAGTGACACGTTCACTTTACTCACTTTGGAGAAAATGTCTGTCAGATACCTACATCTTAATAACCACAGTTGGTTCACTTGTTCTTCCAAGTGAAAAATGTGTATTCTGGATCACAATCAGCAACCACAATATTTTTCCAAGACAACCACCAGGACTTCATCCACACTTTCCACCACAGATACTAAAAAGATGTGCCCAAGGGTCAGATTTAATAAAGGGAGTAACTTCTGCTCATTCACCAAGCATATTCTTAATTAAGCTGGCAGTTGATTACCGTGAGTACATGCAGACGCCACAGTAACGACCAGGACATCCTCGGTGCAAAAGTCCACACAGCGAGAAAGGAAAACCACATCTCACCATGAAAACAGTTCTAACTTCAGGAACATCTCCCAACAAAGGACCTCGAGGGTTCCTGGGGACCCAGGACCCACTTAGGGAACCACTGACCTGGCTTGTGGCTTATATGAAGATGTGAATTCTGTTCTGAAATTCAAGAAAACACTTTCCAAATTTTCCTTAAAAGTAAAAATGGTGAACACATCGGCCGGCAGACAGGGTCAGGCAGACGGCTCACCTCATGTGCGCAGCACTTCTCCGCAGGACGGCCTCCGTGTGTGCGTTCTGAGCCTCAGAGAGGGTCGTCCTCCAGAAGACACGGCAGGCGGAGAAGTCTGAAGTCAGAGAGACCTGAGCTCCCCCACCCCCGCCCCAAATCTCCGTCAGTTCACCTGGGCTCTCATGGACAGAGAGCGTCAGGAGAGAGGCACTAACCCAAGGGCAGTCCCAGCTTTGCCCCCAGCGCTAGTGCCCAGCGCCCTGACCTGACTTCAGCCCCCGTCCCGCCCCAGAAGCACCTCGGTGCCCTCTGCCCTCCCTGGGGTGAACCCACTCCACCCTGAGGTGCAGACGGCAGGAGCCAGCTCCCCGTCCTTACCTGGAGAGGAAGGCACATGGGCCACCACTCATCTGACCCAGGGCTTCCTCTGATGGCCCGCCTCACCCTGGGCAGAGCACTGGGGCTGTCTGAACCTGCCCCCCCTGCCTTCCTCCCAACACCTCAAGGCACACACCGAGCCTCCCTCCTGCCTCTGCCAACGCCAGGTGCGTGATGGGGTGCAAGGCCCCTTGGCTACCTTGCAGAGCTCCACGTTCAGGTCACACAACTCCTGGTTCACTTCAGGGGTGCAGAGCATGTCTGTGAGCGCTTTGTAGAGGAGACCGTTCAGGGCCCTCAGGCGCACCTGGTCTTCCTTCCGGGTTCTCCGAGAGGTGCACTTCGTCAGGAACTCCAACTGGGATGACTTGTGGGTCTCCATCAAAAAGAAAGGCCAACATTACACAAAGGCCAACATGACATCTGTACATGAACCTTACTGATAACAAGGGTCACCCTCAGTCACCTTGGCTTTTATATATACTTCCTTTTACAGACCTGGACCCGTCTAGATTTTACCTAGTATCCCTTCAAAATTAAAAGTAGACCAAGTACATAAATATTTCCAAAAAAATTCTTAGTGAAATGTAATCCACATACCATAAAATTCTCTCTCTTAAAACGTACAATTCAGTGGTTTCCAGTATCAGTTCAGTTGCTCAGTTGTGTCCTACTCTGCAACCCCCATGGACTGCAGCATGCCAAGCTTCCCTGTCCACCACCAACTCCTCAAGCTCACTCAAACATCGAGTCAGTGATGCCATCCAACAACCTCATCCTCTCGTTCCCTTCTCCTCCTGCCTTCAGTCTTTCCCATCATCAGGGTCTTTTCCAATGAGTCAGTTCTTCACATCACGTGGCCAAAGTATTGGAGCGTCAGATTCAGTCCTTTCAATTAATACTCAGGACTTATCTCCTTTAGGATGGACTGGTTTGATCTCCTTGCAGTCCAAGGGACTCTCAAGAGTCTTCTCCAACACCACAGTTCAAAAGCATCAATTCTTCGGGGCTCAGCTTTCTTTATAGTCCAACTCTCACATCCATACACGACTATTGGAAAAACCATAGCTTTGACTAGACTGACCTTTCTTGGCAAAGTAATGTCTATGCTTTTTAATATGCTGTCTAGGTTTGTTATAGCTTTTCTTCCAAGGAGCAAGCATCTTTTAATTTCATGGCTGCAATCACCATCTGCAGTTATTTTTGAGCCCCCAAAAATAAAGTCTGTCACTGTTTCCCCATCTATTTGCCATGAAGTGATGGGACCAGATGCCATGATCTTTTTTTGAATGTTGAGTTTTAAGCCAGCTTTTTTACTCTACTCTTTCACTTTCATCAAGAAGCTCTTTAGTTCCTCTTTGCTTTCTGCCATAAGGGTGGTGTCATCTGTATTATCTGAGGTTATTGATATTTCTCCTGGCAATCTTGATTCCAGCTTGTGCTTCATCCAGCCTGGCATTTCGCATGATGTACTCTATATTTAAGGTAAATAAGCAAGGTGACAATATACAGCCTTGATGTACTCCTTTCCCAATTTGGAACCAGTTTGTTATTCCTTGTCCAGTTCTAACTGCTGCTTCTTGATGTGCATGCAGATTTCTCAGGAGGCAGGTAAGGTGGTCCCATCTCTTTAAGAAGTTTTCAGTTTGTTGTGATCTACACAGCCAAAGGCTTTAATGTACTCAGTGAAGTAGGTTTCTAGTATACACAGTTTATTTTTTTTCTAAAAGGAACCATTCGTTACATACACTTCCATGATACACATACAATGTATTTCAGAAATACTGCAGACTATTACAGACTTTTACAGACTATTACAATATCACCTTCCAGAGTATTACAATAAAGCAGATATCACAATACAATGAGTCACATGAATTTTCTGGATTCCCGATGCATATAAGTTATGTCTGCACTATAGTGTAGTCTATTAAGTGTGCAGTAGCAATGTATCTAAAGACAATATACACGCCTTAACTGAAAACACTTTTTTGCTAAAACATGCTGACGTTGACCTGCAAAAGCAGGGATACCACAGACCTCAATCCGTAAAAAGTATGTAGGAAATGCAACACAAGGAGTGCCTGCATACCTACACATATCTGTGTTACACACACACACACACAACTTGAATGGATGTCACCATGTTAGAATCTGGTAACAGATACGACATTCTGGAAAACTGTGGTATAATTCAAAGGTCAAATCCGCACGTTAGCAGCGTACGTACGCAGGCTCACCCCTCCAGACCCTGCTCCCTCCCGTACTGATGCAGACGGACCACAGGCTGAAGTACTGCCCGGGGCAGGGCCTCCTGCCCTCCAAGATCCCAAAGTGCTCGTCACTGCTCCTCCTACTCACCAAGTGAGAGCCCAAGGAAGGCCCTTCATACCAGAACTTCTTCCTGTAGAAGAAAGTGAGAACTCTGCTGAATACAATGGCAAGCTGGGTAAGAAACAGTTACAAATGCTAACCGCAGGTTATGATATCATAGCTGTTTCTAAAGGGCTAAGCCTGGACATACAGACTAAGTTCCTGGGATTCTAAAAGATTTAGATATCCACCTAACAGCAGCGTGGGTTTTCAGGGAGGGACAGAAGGCAGTTTTAATTCAGCTCCAAGGTTTACCTAAAGTCTACTTCTAGCCCCAAAGATGGAGAAAGGGGATCTTAAAAACACACCTACCACACATGTTTCCTACTCAACAAAGCTGCTGCCTGGGATATGGTTAGCAACTGACACCGTCACACACTGACAGCTAGGTCAGCAGAAGGCGGATGGGAGAGCCAGGCTCCTGACTGCTGCAGACAAGCAAGGGAGAGGGGTGAGGACCATCCAGGCGCCAGCAGATTAGAGATGGAGGTCATCAGGAACTCAAGTTCCACTTTTTACAGCTACAGGTGGTGACATGGAGAAACATTTACAGATAAGCATACACCCCTGACTTAACCTGAACACATATTGTTTTCACTTTGTCAGCTGAATGGGTATAAAAGACAAATACCCCAGTAGCAATGACATACTCAGCTCCAGATCATGGTTCTGATGCCAGTGTCCAGTGAAGGAACCAGGCAGAGCTCCTTGGAGAAATGGCTGGTTCTAGTGCTGAGGCATTCTGTAGTGCCATAAAGTAAAGAAATGCTAATAAATTTCTTTAAACGTAAAAACTACTTCAAGGGTCTCCCCGGTAGTCTACTGGTTAAGAATCCGCCTGCCAACACAGGGGACACAGGTTTGATCCCTGATCCTGGAAGATACCACATGCCACAGAGCAACTAAGCTACTGAGCCCACAGGTCCTAGAGCCTGTGCCCTGCAATGAGAAGCTGCTCACTGCAGCTTGAGAGTAGCCCCCTCTCCCCACAACTAGAGAAAGCCTGTGGGCAGCAACAAAGACCCAGTACAACCAATAAATAAATAAAATAAAATAAATAAAAACTACCTCAAAACTCCTAACAATGAAGTATGTCAAAGGAACACAGAAGCCACCTGAAAGAGCTACCAATGGTCAAAGCTGGAACAACTGGAGCAAAATTAAGTAGTAATGGGTTCTAACCCATGGGTGCATACTGATAGGAATTAACAAATGGAGAAAAAGAGACACATGTTCCATCAAAAGTCTCAATAATTCATGAACCTAACTCACACTACTCCTTATGTGTGAGTGGCATACAGTGACTTCCCTGCAAAGATGACAGCATGGAATCAGAGCGGGGGAGGTAACTTTACCTCAAGTGGATAAACTTGACAGACACAAAGGACCCTAGTCAGTGATCAAGACCAACATCAACAGGGATCAACATCATGTATGTGTTCATATGGTGTGATGATGTGACGAAAATGTCACTTTACATGTATCGTCTTCCCCCCAAACCAAGACCCCAGTATAAGCAAGAGAAAATCATCACACCAGTACCAACAGAGAGGCATTCTACAAATATCTAACCAGTGCTCCTCAAACTGTGGAGGTCATCAAGCACCAACAGTTGGAGAAACTGACACAGGTGAAAAGGAACCTAAAAAGATGTCCCTGGATAGGATACCGGAACAGAAAAAGGACAGCGGAAAAAGAAGCAAAGGTGCATAAAGCTCGGACTTTAGTTAATAATAATGTATCAGTGCTGGTTCATCCACTGTAACACATATGCCAAACCAATATAAGAGATTAATATAGGGGAAACTGTGCTCATATGGGAACTCTATTCATCTTTGCCAATCTAAAACTTTTTTAAAGTGTATTAAAACAAAACATATACATATATACACTTATACATATCTACAATAGAATCAAAATGATATGGAAATTAACATAATTTATTATACTTATCTCTTATCACAACAAAACGTATCCTATTTTTTTAATTCCTCAAATTAACCTCACAGAGAAAGCATTAAGGCGGAAAGGCAATTCTTACATATTTTTCTTATTTCTCTGTGATGAAACTGCTCTCCCGTAAAAACGCTTCTAATAACAAGAATCACCATCCCTCGGTGTCTGTAAGGAACTGGTTCCAAAACCCCACAAACACCAAAACTCGAGGATGCCCAACGCGTTGTTTGCTCATAAACTCCGCGCATCCTCCCGGACACACTAAGTCATCGCTAGGTTACTTACCATACCTAATACCATGTAAATACTACCAAAACAGTTGCCAGCAAGGCAAGTTCAGGTTCTGTTTTTTAGAACTTCGTGGAATTTCTTCTGAACATTTTCAATACAAGGTTGGTTGAATCCGAGGATTTGAAACCTCGGACCCAGGGTGGAATGTAAACATCACTTTGCTTTAAAAGTTCACTTTGCTTTTAGCAGACTTAAAATCATCACAACTACAGTTGTGTATTAAAGTACAGAAAAAAAGCAGGGTGGAAAAACTGCAAACGGCAGCCGTGACGAGTGGACTTTCACCCGCGGAGACTGCCCTCACAGACTTGGCTGCGCGCTCGGGCGCCAGCTAGCGCCCAGGCGGAGCCCCCATCCTTGAGGACCCCGGCCCGGGCCACCGCCCCAACGCCCTCCACCCCACTCGGGAACATTACTTGGTTTTCGAAGCAAATTTCTTGAGCAGGTTCTTGCCACAGGACACAGGCGAGCTGTGCAGACCTCGGACACCACTCAGGAGCCCCAGATGGTGCCCCGGCCGCCACCTGAGAGCGGCCCACATGTTTGCTCAGCGACTGCGGACAAATGGCGACGCAAGGCGGGGCGACGGTGACAAGGAGACGTGGGGCGGGGCAAAGCCAGATGGGGAGACCTTTGCGGGGAGACGTGGGCAAGAAGACAAACGCGGCGAGGCCGTGAGCAGGGGGTGGGCGGGGCCCAAGGAGACACACAGCTGAGGGAAGCGGGGCGGGGCGACGTGTGGGGCGGGGCTACTTTTGCGCGGCGTGGGCAAGGGTGACTTTGCCACGGAGACGTAAAGCGGAGCGACGCTGAGAGGTGCGGTGTGCGGGATAGGATACTTTGACGGGGCGTGGGTGTGGGTGGGGTAACGTTGCCAAGGAGACGGGGAGAGGAGCGCGCGGGGCGGAGCGAAGTGTAGGCGGGGCTATATGACAAGGAGTCAGTGGGGCGTCGTTGCCCAGGAGACGTGGGGCGGAGCGACACGGGGCGGGGCGACGTGGGGGCGGAACTACGTTACGGGGCGTGGGCGGAGCGTCGTTGCCAAGGAGACACTCTGGCGAGCGACGCTGGGCGCGGTGACGGTAACTGACGTGTCGTGAAGTGGACGGGGAGACGTGGGGCGGGGCGAAGCGAGACGGGTCGATGTATAGGGCGGGGCTATGTAGACTAGGGTGTGGCTGACTGGCGTTACCAAGGAGACGTGGAGCGTCACCACTCGGGGCGGGGCGACGTAAGGCTTTGAGGCGACGTGGGGCAGGAAGACGAGTTAGGGGAACTGGTGAAGAGGCTCTGGGCCAAGTGCTGGGCATGCTGAGAGTCACCGGGAGACTGGGCGGGGCGCAAGGGCGCGGCGGTATCTGGGGACGAGTAGACGGACTCTGAGGCGGCCGAGCGGAGGCACGTGCGGGGAGGGGCAGGGCTGAGCGTGAGCAGGCCTGAGCAGTCACGCGTCGTTAGGCGAGTGGGCCGGGCCGGGTGGGGGACCGTGCACCGTAGGTTGGACGGGGCGCCTGTGGGTGGGGCCAGATATCAAGGTGCTGAGCGGAGCGCCACGACGTAACCTGAGGAGCAGACGAGCCACGACCCCGCAGTTCTTCCATCCAGTGCCGCGTTAGCTGGACTTTGCTGCTGGGGAAGCGCGCAAAACACCCGGAGGCGGAGACTGCAGAGCGAGGAACACACTTTATGCACCCGCACGGAGCTAACAGAGAGGGGGGCGTTGCAACTCCCTTGCTACAGAACATCAAATGAGGAGCAGGGAAGTAAGGTCCGTCTTCACTCGGTGGTTTAAATGAAAAGACGGCGTCCTGGAGCAGAGCTCCTGCTTCTGGCACAACTAGGAAGGATCAAGTTCCTTCCTCTCTATGCTACTAATTCGTTTGCTCACTTCCTGTGACACCTGCTCGTCAGTCTATGTGGAGGAGAAAAACAGCTTCCAAACTGCTGCAGAAAGGAGCCATCCTCACCCGAGACGCCTCTTCAAGGTCACCCCTGGTAATTCCGCACTAGGCACTCTCTCCCCGCTCCTTTGCTCCCGCTCAGACAGACCTCCTGGCACTGCTTGGTCTTCTCCCTACTAGTAAGTAAACCCTTGAGTGGGGACTTGGCACATCGAAGGTGCCCAATTATCCTTTTTTTGAATGATTGAAATAGTGATCAGACTGTCAGGGAGGACTATGTAATCCAATAAATTTACCAGAATTTATCAAGACTGAAAGCAGCACAACTCACTGGGAAACCTACAGACCGAGTGCAGGCTTTTGCACTGTGGACAAGTAATTACCTGTGCTCAGTTTTATCACGAATGGTAACAGAACTTCCCTCTTACAGCTGCCTTGAGGATGAGGTGAGCATGTGAGAAAAGCATTTAGCAAACTTTCAACAGGTGATTAAGTATTATGACTAGCCCTTAAGTTTTTCATCCAAGTAGTATTAATACAATCTATATAATGGACTCAAACATAAAGTATACAAAAGTGTTTCTTTCCCATTTAATCTGCTGTTTCCATCCCACTGAATGCTTAACTCACATAAATCATTTAAGCAGCACTTCGTTAGGAATAGGAAGGCCACTGAAAGAAGCCAGGATGCTTTCAACCAAATTTTCCATCATCTGTCGTCTTGCTTGATGAGTTGCACTTCCAATGTGAGGTGTCAGAATGATGTTCTTCAACTCCAATAAAGGATGATCTCTGAAATACAGATTAATGGAGGAAAACAGTCATTTGGTTTCTTTAACTTCATATTCTGGTTTCACATCCCCACTGAGATGGGGAAGGCTGTGGGAGGCCTCATGATGTACTGAGATGATACCTAGATGTACGCTAGATGATCACTGCTCATTTAACCCTTGTTTGGGTGACCCAACATTACTGGGTGTAAAATAACATATCCTAACTGCACCCAGGCCATTAGCTCACAATTGCAGAACATGCATGATGGGTTAAATGACAGTGACCTGCAAGATAAGAAAGGGCCTTGGAGTGCTGATTCAGGCATGATGGGTCAAGATGAATGCACCTTTAATGGGAATGGCATTCAGAGGGAAAAGATTTCTTAACTAGGATTAGCAGGTTAGAGAGAGCTCTCTTCCAGGAAGAAGGCACAGAATGGGAGACAGCCTGGAAAGATAAGATTTTAGTGAAGTCGGTCAGGCAGACTCAAGCATAATGATGGATAAGATTAGAACTCAGGATTGGAAAAGTGCTGTCACCTGGCCCAACAGAGCCTCTTTATTTTAATACAGACAGAGGCCAAAGTAGCCCCATGGCAGTGATTCCTCCCCGCCCAATAGCTACTGTGGCTCAAGGGGCACACCCTTGGGAATCCTAAGGATGCCCAAACCTATGGAAGTTCTCTACGAGCACCTGTAATTTATGCCAATGCAGTGCAACCACCCTCACCTCCAGGACTGATTGAAGTAAGACGTATTGTGTGGTACAGTTAGCAGGGATAGGATTATTCTGAAAAACACTTGTGTTCCCTCCCTATGAAGCAGGTGGGCCCTACTATATAACAGCACACAATGGAAAACAGTCTAGGTACGAGGGTATGAGACAGGGTGATGCTTTGTCCCAGTGGACTTGGAACCCAACACCTGCCCATAAGAATATCTGAATGTATAGGCAAGAGACATTTGTGTTGAGAAGGCATAGCAAATACCTCTGCATTGTTACTGACATGTAATTAAACTGCAGTGTACCATGAATGTATAGCAATATGCTGTAACACTGGCACTGTTGGCAAGATTTAACTACCTCATGAAAGTTAAGTCAGATGATAATACTGACATTGATGATCAATGGGAAATGACTGGCCTGTGAATTACTGGATTTCGCTAAATATCACCTAACTTTATATACTAAATAGTGCTACATGAGTTCATCATAACATACAAATAGTGGTAGATGAAGAGGTTGAGGGCAACAACTAATCAAAAAATACAAAAATACAATGGGTTAGTTGTTTCTTTAAATCTTATCCCTGCCCCACAGTGACTCCATCAAATGTCACGCATAGTCTAACAGCAATACTATTGCTGAACCTGTCATATAAATACTGTAATAAATGTAGATACTTCAATAAATATCATTTTGCTGTGAGACAGCCTAGGCCAAGGACCTTGCAGTCCATGGGGTCACAGAGTCAGACACAACTGAGTAACTGAACTGAAGGGCCACAGGGGTGGCCTGTGTAATAAAGAATTAACTGAGCAGGCAGGTTTGGAGTTCTTGAATTCTGCACATTCCAAAGAAAAGGCTGGCCTTTGACTGGCCTCTGGAAGATAACCTGTGAGCCCTTCAGATATACTGCCTGGTAAGAGTATCTGATCCTTGGGGTCTTGGACAAAGCCAGAGAGTTGTTGCTAGTGGTTTAATTTGTGGTGAATGCCTGTTTTTGTTTGCCTAGAGCTCTTGGCTAGTCTGTATCAGTTTGACCTCTATAGGGGCTGGAGACTAAGAAGTAAATGTCAGACAAGTGGGTACTCCATGCCAACATGACTGAGTCCAGATAAAATGCTCAGTGAGCTTCCCTGGATGGAAATACTTAATGTATGTTGTCATGCATCACTGCTGGAGGTATAGGCACTGTCCACACAACTCTGCTGGGAGGACAAGCCTGGGTCTCTTGGACTCCACTCTAGAAGTTTTCTGCCTTTGCTGATTTTAAACTTATGTCTTTTCACTGTAATAAACTGTAACTGTGAGTATAAAAGCTTTTCTGCATTCTGCACGTCTTTCCAGCCAATCATTAAAACTGACGGTAGTCTTGGGGACTCCTGGCACTACTGACAAATGAAATTTTTAAAATAATTTGTAGTAAATACTTTTGTAAAGTAAAGAATACTTATGTAGTATGACTAAATAACCCAAGATTTCCTACTTTTTATTTTTTTTTCCACAGTGAGCGGCATCAAAATGTCTCCCTGAAAAAGATGAAAACTCAAACGTATCTGATAAATACCTTGGCAAAAGAGCTTTAACAAAAATGATTTCACGTGGGACACTGGGAGTACATCACCTATCAGGATAAACTAAGCTTTGGGATATAACACTGGTATTTGCCCTGTGACTTGTAAGGAAAAGCTCTTTTTAGCAGGCTAGTCAACAGGGGTGATCGCATGACTTCTGTTTTGAGTAAGTTGGCAACTGTCTAAAATATTCATCCTTCTTTATTTATACTGAAATTATTTTTTGTTCTAGATTAGTGGCTCTCTTCTAAAGAGCCTCTTGATGAAAGTGAAAGAGGAGAGTGAAAAAGTTGGCTTAAAGCTCAACATTCAAAAAACTAAGCTTATGACATCCAGTCCCATCCCTTCATGGCAAACAGGTGGGGAAACAATGGAAACAGTGACAGACTATTTTCTTGGGCTCCAAAATCATTGCAGATGGTGACTGCAGCCATGAAATTAAGACACTTGCTCCTTGAAAGAAAAGCTATGACTAACCTAGACAGCATATTAAAAAGCAGAGACATTATGTTGCCGACAAAGGTCTATCTAGTCCAAGCTATGGTTTTTCCAGTAGTCGTGTATGGATGTGAGAGCTGGACCATAAAGAAAGCTAAGTGCCAAAGAATTAATGCTTTTGAACTATGGTGTTGGAGAAGGCTCTTGAGAGTCCTTTGGACTGCAAGGAGATCCAACCAGTCAATCCTAAAGGAACACAGTCCTGAATATTCACTGGAAGGACTGATGATGAAGCCGAAACTCCAATCCTTTGGCCACCTGATGTGAAGAACTGACTCATTGGAAAAGACCCTGATGCTGGGAAAGACTGAAGGGAGGCGGAGAAGGGGACGACAGAGGAAGAGATGGTTGAATGGCATCACCAACTCAATGTTTAAGTAAGCTCGAGGAGCTGGTGGTGGACAGGGAAGCTTGGTGTGCTGCAGCCCATGGGGGTTGCAGAGAGTCGGACGTGACTGAGTGACTGAACTGAATGGCTTGCTTACTTGACCTTTATACTCTTAAAAATTGAGAATCCCAAAGAACATGTGTTTATGAGGATTATGTCTATCAACATTTATTGTATTAGAAATTAAAACTGAAAACAATGTAATACAGTCATACACTTCATTAACTGTCTGAGTGATGATGTCATCACACATTCTGAGGAAACCCTACTGTGCTCTTGTGAGAACATGAGAGGAAATGAACCACTGCTTATGCATCAGGAAAACAGTTATGATGTGGAAACTTCTGTCTCTTTCTAGATAGGATGCTGTCTGATTCATAAATTTTTTTTTTTGCTTTTCCTATTTTTTTTAATATAAATTTATTTCAATTGGAGGCTATGATTCATGAATTATTAAATGAAGCCAATTAGACCTTTAAAAAGAAAAATAGTTTTGACTTCATAGACCCCTTAAAATGGTCTCCAGAGCACATTTTGAGAAACTGTTCTCAATAAATTATTGTTTTTTCTCAGATATGCCTAATTTCTACGGCCAATCTTGATAAACTTAGATATCAAATTTGGTCAAAACATTCATCTGACAGTAATTTGCTTACTGGATGGAAATCAAAGTTAGGAATAGCTGGTTTAACAGATGACAGCATCAAGATTCAAAATAAATAAGAGAATTAAAACGCCAGTCCCACTAGGCTGGATCACATGGTCAACATACAAGCAAATGAAATTAAATGCAAATAAATGTAAAATTTCACGCATAAACTTTAAAAAAAAACTTGAGAGAATAGCAATTTCAACTTTAGCTGACTAAAAAACTCAATGAGTTAAGGTGCAACGAGGCTGTGAGGAAACCTGCTGCTAACACCACCTCTGTGTACCTCTCTGCAGTGGTCAGGCCACAACATGAATACCATGTGCAGTCCTCAGCAGAGTATTTTCAAAGGACTGGAAGGCAATAATAAGGACAATGTGTCTGGAAATGATAACATTTAGGCTACAAATGAAGGATATGAAGATATTTAGCCTAAAAAAAAAAAGACTATGGTGAAATGTGGTGGTCATCTGAAGGTTTGTAAAGAGAAGAATCATCAAAGTTAGTCTCTGATGCTCCAGGGGGCAAACCAGGGTCAATGGGTAAAGGGAGGATTATTTGGCTTAACTGGAGAAAGACTATTCTGTGCGTTCTCCATCCATGGGGTCTGAGGCCCCAGTGCCCTGAGTGCCCTGTCTGTGGAGGTGCTAAAGCAGAGGCCTGACCCACTGCAGAAATGGACAGGTCACCAGGGGCATGCTCCAAGGCCAAGACCCTACGTGACTGCAACATGCGGTTCAATGTGGCTGCAGAAGTCAAAAGCAGCAGCTGTCTGAGGCCTCTCTTAACCGGAGGGAGAGAACTTGTAGATCCTGTCCGGCTTCCTTACCTGGGCAGGGGCTCTGGGTACGTCACATCCAGTGCTGCCGCCTTAATGAGCCTGGTCTGAAGGGCTTCCACCAGGGCGTCTTGATCAACTAGCAGACCTGGGTGGACGAGACCACTCCTCTGTAGGCCCAAGTTAGGTAGTGCTCTCTGGTCACACTGAAGCACATCTTGATCTTGTCAGAGGTTTGACAAAAAGCACGTGAACTTCATTCTGCCAATCTATTCTCAGACACTGAGAGCCTGCCATGTGCCAGGCAGTGCACTAAGCCCTTCACAGATGCTTCTCACTGACTCTGCTTACCCAGCAGAAGACAATACTCATTTTACAGGTGACATACTCAGCTGAAGTCACATACTTCTAACACATCCACCCAGATCTGAGCCCAGGTCTGTCTGGCCCTGAGCCTGGGCCCTGCCACTTCAACACACCACCTCCCAACCACCGGAAGATTCCAGGAAACAGCCCCCAGATAATAGTTTTATATACATGCCAAAAAACGAAGCAGCCACAAACATGAACCATAACTGCATTTCAAATGTGAAATAGCAGGGCCTGCTTGAACAGTGCTGAGAAGGAGGCCCTTTCCCTCAAGCAGAGAAGTCCCCCTTCCCACTGGTGAGCTGAGCTGCCCCATGGTCAAAACACAGCATCCAGCCTGTGCGTGCTAGCTCCAAGCCCTTCCTAGGGTGTTTGCTTTTCTAGAATCTTTGTCTCCAACCTCTGACATCACCAAAAGCACATAATGCACTGGTCCTTCCTGCTTGTCAACAGGGTATGAATTTTCGAGACCTTCAAGCACACTAGCTTGGCCCTGTGGGATTTCACGGCAAGCACTGTTATCTGGGTTTTACGGATAAGAGATCCAGGTAGCTGCTGGTAGTGCCAGGTCTCACATGTCCTCTGGCCCCCAACCCCAAAGGCAAGTCACCAGCAGGTGTGATGCCAGCACTGATCCTCACACGTGCTCAGGTCCCCAGCATTGAGGAGCCAGTTTTCTCCTTTACGAATGCTCCAGAAAACAGTTACAACACAGGACCTATGGCTTCCTGTACACAGACACACAAAGCTCTACACTAATGTCAAATAACCAAACTAAGTGAGGCTCAGAAAATTCATCCCCGTAACTTTTGCTTGATGACACGTGGAAAGTCAAATTGTGATGGCCCTACCCAAGAAGATGCCCACACTGAGATATGAAACTCCCACAGAGGTTCAGCATTCTCATTCTTTATATTACTAATTTGAGACTCAAAATGATGTGAAGATAAAAATCAGAAATATTTGTAAATATAAAGTATAATCCCTTTAACACATCATCCACAAGTCTAGTGGATTTTTAAGACCATTCAGGGAAAAGGTTGATGGAAATGAGAGAGTGGCCAGGGCTGGGGGTCCTCCTGCACAGCCCTCCAGCCCACATACAGCTGGAGCGGGTACCTCTGCCGATGTTGACAAGGATGGCGGTGGGCTTCATTAACCTCAGCTCCCGCTTCCCGATCAGGCCCTGGGTCTGTGGCGTCAAGCTCACAGCCAACATCACAAAGTCCGACGACTGGGTCATCCAGCCTCTCACAGTAAATGGCCCCAACAGCTTCCTCCTCCTCCAATTTTCTATGAAGGGAACAAGGGAGAAGACCATATTCTCTGCTTAGAAATTCATCCGTTTGCCCCAGGAGGGAGTTTCTGAGAGGGCTGCAAAGTCCCTCAGTATGCTCAGTATGTTGGGGCCAGATCCCATGTGGGTTCAGAGGTGGCTGGACCCAGAGCTCAGGGCTTACCCATGGAAACCTGCGCCTCTGGGTGCTCTGAGCCCTGTGTCTGTGGCATTTCACACCAGACTGCAAGCCTCTTATGGACAGGAGCTTCCTCTCACTCAGCTTAGAGCCCCCAGAGGCTGGTACAGCCGATGGTGTCAGACATGCTTTCAGTGACATGAGACACTGCTGGATATAGGTAAACACATCAGAAACTCCAGAAAAAAAAAACAACAAAATGGGAGAAGGTCGGGATTGCCATGTGTTCAACAGAGAGCAAGGACCCAAGGTTCTGGTGTAGGCAGCTTGTGTGCTGTTTTGGGTTCGATCCTAGCTTCTGCTCTGCCCACCCCAGGCAGCTGATTACTCAACAGAAATGCCAAGCTCCAGGAAGGCTCAGCGGCCTTGGTAGCCACTCCTGCCCTACAAATATGCAATACAAAACTGTATGGATTCTTTCTACACATGTTGGCCAGGAGACCGCCTGGAGGAAAGGAACGGCCAGCACACCCAGCCACTATGAAGGCCCTACTCGTATCACATGCCTGTCCCCGAAGAGCCCTGGCCTCTGCATCAGAGTGGAATGCAGGTGAGAAAAGCCAGGGTGTAGGCAGGAGGCATCAATGAAGTGAGGGCAAACAGGCAGGTCTGAGACAGAATCAAAAGACTGGGCGCTGGGCCAAATGCCACTCATGGAGTATGAGGAAGACGGTTTCAGACCGAACGCTGCTGGGGGAAGCCCTGTGGCCTTGTGTCATGTGTATTAAAGTGTGGGCAGCATCTCCCATGGTCAGAAAGAATCAGTTTACAAATTTAAAAAGCACATATAATTGTAGGTGAGCCAAAATCTCTTTTCTCTGGTGAAATTTCTTCCATGAAGAGAAGCTTACCTGCCACATTTTTAGGGAATCATAAAAATGCTACAATCCGTTCTTTGATCATCAACCCTGCTTTCTGGAGACAGAATAAGGGAATCGAATAAAAAGTGAAGAAATAATATATCAAAGCCATACTGAAGGCAGTGATGATGTAAGTTCTGCTCAGTTAATTTCAAGTCTATTTTCTGAATTTTACCTGCGTTTCCTATTGTGATAGACAATCTTCATTTCAAATGCTCTGGCCCTTTGAGCAATCTTATAGCCAATGCTGCCCATGCCGATAATTCCCAGAGTGGCCCCTGTCACTTGTTGACCCATATAGTCTGTAGGAAAGTTCTCTGTATGTGGTGAAACAGCCAACTGATGACCTAAAATAAACAAGGTGCAGAGTGGGCAGTGTGGACAGCACCATACACAGAATCCCCACAACCCTCACGGGACCTCCTGACTGAGAGATGAGGTTGAAGGAAGCCCGAGATGGACCCTGTGCACTCAGGCACGTCTATCCAACAGCAAAATGTTTCTGCAGGAAGGATGGATCGGACAGCAGTTTCCTCATCATAAACCCAAGCCTCCTGGCATGATGCTTTAAACAAGCAACTTCTTTCACATTAAGGGAAGATTTGTGGTTAAAATTTGTTGGTTCTGGTGTGTGTGTCTGTATGTTTTTGACTACATGTATGTGTATGTGACTGCATGTGTTTCTATATGGTTTATGTGCATATGCAAGTGCATATGTGTGTGTGAGTGTGCACATGTGAACCAGCAATCAGAAGATAACCAGCCTGGTTTTTGCCTCCTCTCCTCAAGCCCCTTCACCCCAGAGCTCCACCAGGATGACAGCCAAGTGCTGAACGGCTGCACTGTCCTTCCCAGGACACTCCCAGGGATGTCCAGTGTGTGGAGAGGTGGGGTCTCACCTACTCATGTATGGGCCTTCATGCCAGGGTAGCAGGCTGACTGGCCAATGGATCACCCCAGGGTGTTTCCATAGTGGTGCTGAAATTACGTCACAGGTATGGGTACCCCCATGGCACAGTGAGTAGAATGTGGTGGAGGAAAAGACAGTGCTCAGACAGACCATGTGGACTGCAAGTGTGCAGGGGCTGAGACCGGCCCTGACTAGGCTGTAGCAACCAAGACTGGCTCCCACCCCAGGGCCACAAAGTCCTGGACGCAGTGTGAAGAGACCAGGGCTTTATCAGCTGTGATATTAAACATCCGTCATCTAATCTGGAAAACCAACATCTCCTGGCTGTTTACCTTCCACAACTCTCCGAGCTGCGGCAAGCAGCAAGGCCATCCCCAGGTCTGCCGTGGGGCTAGAGACAGCATGTGGTGTGTTGGCCACCTTCACGCCAAAGCTGGCCACGAGCCCTAGGTCCAGATGGTCCAACCCTGCCCCTGCACTGGCCACGATCTTCAAGGAGGGCAGGCTGCACAGGAGCTCCTGGCTGACGGCCGGCCTTCCGCCCCAGATGTATACAGCTTGGATCTTGGGACCCAGCTGTGCTTTATTTTCCAAAAAGTCTTGCATGGTAATGAGATTAAAGTGTCTCTTCAGGTCTTCAGCATGATCTTCACATATACCATGTGGTCCTTCAAGATCAGACACCAGAACTCCAGGTAGGTCCTGATCACCCATGGCCTACAGAAAGATAGATGCAATTTCTGCTGTCAAAGAAGAGAGTTTTCAAGAGAACAACCTGTATACTCTTCTACTATTCTTTAGATTTCCTGAACTACAAGACTGGAATTATTTCCTGGATGAATTCCTGTAAAGTCTGAACCACAACACACCGGGACTCTGAAGGTACCAACACCCCATCAGGCCCACGTTCCTCTTATTGGACATGGGTCTTTATTTCTGCCCTTTGGCCATAGCAGCTGCAGTAACTAACTGGTTTTTTTTACTGTGAAAGTAAAATATATTTGTTATTGTCTGTCAAATGAATTAAATAATGTTTTATGTTCCTTGTTCCTAATTTAAACTAAGATTTTTTTTTTAAACATTTTATAGCTTTCTTCCGAAAAGAAAACCAGCTGCTTTGAAGAGTTGAGGCTAATGACTGCATTTTATCTTTGGGTCACAAACTTGGCTAAAAATGTTTAAAATGTGTTCAAAGTTCAGAGAATAATTGGCTAAAAAAAAACTTGTGTTACTTCTTGGACTTTGAGTAAAAGATTATAAGAGCTTCATTAAGGATAAGCCTTTAGTTTTACAGAGAGCAGGCTCAATTCCTGCCTGCTTCAAGTTGGTTATGGAACAATGACACACATCCATCATGCCATTACTGTCAGTGGGTATACATAGTGAAGATCCAAGACCATCCACCATCTCCAAAGGAGAAGAGATGAGAGTCGAAGTGGGGAGGGATGGCCATAGCAGAGGGTGGGAGCGTTGGGCAGATTCAGGAGCTCACCCTGTCCCTGGGCTCTGCCCCTTGTTGCGTAACTCCTTTCACCAGCACCAGCCTCTGACCATCTCCACTCACAGCCAGGAGTCTAGCCAAGGAGCATGAGACAGGAAGTGGGATCCCTATTAACTGCTTTCCTAGAAGGGAGCACGGGTCCTACCTGCTGCTGACCCTGGTGCTCAGAGGGGTGGGCAGGGTTAAAAGAGGGAACTTTGGCTCCAGCACCGATCTGCGGCTGATCAAAGGTCTCCCAGGCTTCCTGGGTTCTTGGTGAAACTGACATATCATCAACAAGTGTGTTTTACAACTGCGCCCTGAGATCACATCTCATTCTCCTCCCTCAGTTTCTGCACAGAGAGAAGTGGACTTGCCTCTAGCAGGCGTCCTTGGATGCCCAGTATTGACATGATGGTTGGTTAGGGCATTCTGACAACAAAGGAACTCACCACAAAGAAGGTGTATTGTTAGATACCCACATTTTTGTCCATGTCAAAAGATAAACCCATGGGTGAAATTTGGAAAAATAAAAAATTTTACAGCTTTGTTTTTAGTTAAGAGAGTGATAGTTTAGACATGTATATTTTCTAACTGCTATGTGCATACTCCTTGCACTGTTTAATTTGAACTGCTAACACAGATTTAAAATTAGTTATTTTCTCCTTGCAAAATGATTGCTCAATTAAAAAATAAAAGACTTTGCATTAACTTTGCTGAAATTGCCTTCCACAGACTCAAGGCTCTAAACTCAGGATTTTCTTCTTTTAAAACCTCTTTAAAATTGAGACCCAGAAAGAAAAATAAAGTAGAATGAACTTCCAACCTCTTCTTCCAAGAAGTAAGACTGACATGTGCATGGCACTCATGAGGGAGGTGCAGAGGAAGGCACGTAGATCCTTTACCAGTGACCGTGGCTGCACAGCTGGACTCTGAGCCCAGAGCAGGACGGGGCAGGGAGCATCAGGTGACACAAGAAAGGAGAGTGACTTCAGTTCACAGAAGGGGCACGGGCGGGGCCAGGCAAGGGGGAGGTGGGTAACAGAGAGCTTTCTAACTTAAAAGAAAAATGAAAATAAAAACCAACTGCAACCAAAAAAATATTTTTAGTTTTGGGAACAGAGAGAAAGAAACAAAGACAGGGTGAGGCAGGAAGGAGGACAAAAAAGCAGAACCACAGGCGCTGGTTCAGGCCACTCTGCCTGACTGTGATTCTCCCTGAAACTTGCTCTCCGCCAAAGCAGAGTGAGGGGAACACACAGCCTTGCATTGTGGCCCAGATAATGAAAGAGAGCATTCTGAGCCTGCAGGACCGGGGGCAAGCCTTCAGTGAAGGGGGTTACTAATGTTCAAATCTGAAGAACAATTTAGACATCTACCTAAGTGTCTAGAAACAAACTTACACCAAAGAGAGAGACTGAATTCATATAGCACAGTAAAATTTTTTTAAAATTTCTTAAAACTCTATTTCCTAACAAAGCTTCCTCGCAGTATTTGAGAGACGAGTCCAATACCCTCCCATCATCCCCACAACCCCAACATGCCAAGACTTGCTTCAAACTGGTGCCCACTGACTTGTATCTTCTCTCCCTGCCACTCTGTCCTCTGATCCTTTCTCTAGTCCCTTTCAAAGTCTATCCTCATCTTGAAGGAGGAAATAGACAGAGCTGGACTCCGTCTTAGGCCAGGCTGCAAACATTAGGCTACACTCATGGTCACCCTCCCAGTGGACTCTGAACTTAGTGCCCGGTGGCACACCAACGGAAAACCAGATCCCCTCTAATAAAAGAGCCTCAGGACTTGGACTTGGACTCTCCATTGCCTAAAAGAATATGCTAATTATCTCTGTAATAGAACAAAGTCATAAATTCCATTATGTTTATAAGGTCTACTGTTTAACTATCTAGGCTTCTGACACATGACTCGTGGGTTAACTTTGATCGTATCTCTCTTTACCTTGTCCAGACTAGTTTCAAGGAATTTGGGAAAGTGGGTTTGATCAAATACACTTAGGGTATAAAAGGTTTTCACAAAAATTGGTCGGAGTCCTTGGTTAAGAGGAGACTCTGCCTTGGGCCCACCGGTGTAATAAACTGCACTCCACTATCTGCATTGTCCTTCTGAGTGAGTTTGTTCTTCTGAATTCTAGGTTCCCGGAACCCATGGCTACAACAATCTCACCTATGGAGCAGCTCTCTGCCCTTTCCATGGGGATAAAATCACAATTGTTTGTTCTCTGTCCTCTACAGATCCCTGATTCTGCCCCAAAGAGGCTCAGAAAACAGACTGGGGGGGAAAAAAAAAACTCTGTAACGAAGAGTAGGTGATGCCATGTTTAGCCCCTCTGCTTTTTTTAATCATCCTTATGCTGATTTTTGGATTTGCTGCAAATGATCTATTCATGCATGACTAGATAAAGGGACCTGAAGATTAAGATATACCAAAAGATATATCCTTGAGGGTGAGTTTGCCATTTCTGACTTAATGAAGAAGAAATGGTTTGTCAGGGCTTGCTAAATATCAGAGAAAAGAAAGGCAAGATTAAAAAATTAAAATTGAACTAATGTAGGAAATAAACTGTAAAATCTGATGTGGGTACCTGAATCTTATTCATTTAAAGCTTAATCTGCCACTGCCTAGAGTTTAGGAAAAAAAGTACATACCTGTCCAAAATGACCTTGAGAATCTCTGAAGCCACCTTAGGTCTTCTCTGGAACAAGGGAGGCATAAATAACAACACTGGAGTTTCCTTATTAAATTCTTCAGGATTGTGCCCTGGGGGCCCAGACGGGTCTTAGGATACTAATGCTGCCCATCTGCCCCAGGTGAAGTCCAAGGTCAGTCATGTCTACGCAGCAGAGCTCGATCCAGTCTCCCCCGCAAATCACAACATTCTAGGGGTTCATTTACCTTTTTAAAAAGACTCCAGATTTAAGGGACGCTCCAGCCAACCTAACCTCCCGGCCAAGACCCGGCCAGTGAAGGCTCAGGTCAAAGAGCGCAGTGCCCAGCCCCTCCCCGCCCCGCCCCTCCCCGCCCCAGCCTCACCCCAAAGCCCACAACCAGCTGGCCTTCTCTGCCAGCCCCGCCCCATCCAACTAGGCTGCACCCGCACTTCCAGCATTAGGTCCCTGAGGCTGAGAACTTTTGGCACAAGGAGAAGCCGCCTGAAGGGCAAATGGCGCCGAGAGGGACGGCTTTGGTGGAGCCTCCTGCAGGAGCAGGGTCTAGATGGTAGAGTGTGGGGTCTGTCCAGTGCGGAAGGTTGCAGGCCGGTCTCAGCGTGAGAAGTATGAAAATCAACACGCGGAAACCTCACTTCAGAGTTGGGAGGCCAGAAGGGATAGTTCTGGGCACCACCCTCCCTTGATTGGAGACCCAGCAGGAAGAAGGGCGCAACCTAACTGCCTACAAGGCAGGAAACCTTCCTCCCAGTCTGGAAGCAACCCAGCCAATGGGAAGCTACTACACTTCCAACTCCAGGTTCCCTCCAATGGACACTCTATTACAAGAAGCCATGCCCAGCTCCCCCTTTGTTGTTGTCACTCAGTCCTGTCTGATTCTGCAACCCCAAAGGCTGCACCGTCCTTCACCATCTCCCAGGGTTTGCTCAAACTCATGCCCATTGAGTCAGTGATGCCATCCAGCCATCTCATCCTCTGTCCTCCCCTTCTCCTCCAGCCTTCAATCTTTCCCAGCAAAAGGGTCTTTTCCAATGAGTCTGCTCTTCCCATCAGGTGGTCAAAGTATAGGAGCTTCAGCATCAGTCCTTCCAATGAATATTCAGGGTTGATTTCCTTTAGAATTGATTTCCTTTAGGATTTGATCTCCTTGCAGTCCAAGGGACTCGCAAGAGTCTTCTCCAACACCAGGGTTCAAAAACATCAGTTCTTCAGTGCTCAGCCTTCTTTATGGTCTTAACTCACATCCATACATGACTACTGGAAAAAACATATCTTTGAATACAGAGACCTTTGTCAGCAAAGTAATGTCTCTGCTTTTTAATAACGTTGCCTAGGTTTGTCATAGCTTTTCTTCCAAGGAGCAAGTGTCTTTTAATTTCATGGTTGCAGTCACTGTCCGCAGTGATTTTGGAGCTCAAGGAAATAAAGTCTGTCATAGTTTCCATTGTTTCCCCATCTATCTGCCATGAAGTGACGGGACCGAATGCCATGATCTTAGTTTCTTGAATGTTCCAAGTATTAAGCCAGCTTCTTCACTCTCCTCTTTCACCCTCATCTCTCCCTTCTCCTCTATAAAAGAAATTCTTCTCCTTTGTTCTCTGGACTTGTCTTTCTTTTGCCACTGATTGCCTGTTTTAAATCACAGTTTTTGCTATTCCTGAATAAACCCATTTTGCAAGGCAATGCTTTCTCAAGAGCCTTTTTATGACCTTGAGATAGAATAGTAAAACACTACGTTCTCTTTCAGTCTCCACTCTATTCTACTAAACTCTACTCTCCTCTTTCAGTTCCAGACCGTTCTAAGAAGTTTCCTACCTTAGCTGTTATTTATTCTTGTTATTAGTCTAGTGTACATTTATCTTCAATTTGGGGCCTCTGCTGAAATTTGAGAGATAGTCTCACTTTAACATTGTCTTACATTTGATTTAAAACATTTCTTTTTTTAAAAATGCAAATCCTTCTAGAAGAGTAATAAGGCTCTTCAATAATTTTTTATTAGTAACAATTAGTTCTGTCAACTTGCCTTCAACTCAAGCCAGCTGCTCCACAGGAATGAGGGCTCTGTTTGGCCATGTGTATCCTTTCCCAATTAGGAGACATGGAACATCTTCTCCCACTGAATATCTGTCTTGCTCTTACTTGAGAATTCCAGATTGTGTTTTTTAATGCTTATGTTTAGTCATTTTTAAAATGAAGAATTCGGTTTCTAAAGATAAAATTAATTCAAGATGTCTGATTAACTCAGAGATGATTTAGCCTATTTATTCCCATCTTCTTAATGATCAGATACTTTCAGAGGAAATGAAAGGAGAAATGGAGAGCTTTGGTCAAATAATTGATTTCTCTTGGCTGGACTAGTGACTTTTCAACTCATTCCATGAGGCCCCTATACCAAAATCAGACAAAGAAACTGCAAGAAAACTACAGACCAATATCCTTTGTGAGTTATAGACACAAAACCTTCAATAAAATACTAGCAAACCAAATTCAGCAACATATTTTGAAAAACTACTTAGACCAAATATGATTTAGCTTCCCTGGTGGCTCAAAAGGTAAAGAATCTGCCTGCAATGCAGGAGACCTGGGTTCAATCCCTGGGTCGGGAAGATCCCCTGGAGAAGGAAATGGCAACACATTCCAGTATTTTTGCCTGGAAAACCCATGGACAGAGGAGTCTGGCTGGCTACAGTACATGGGTCACAAAAAGTTGAACACGACTGAGTTGTTGTTCAGTCACCCTGTCATGTCTGACTCTTCATGACCCCATGGACTGCAGATGCCAGGCCTCCCTGTCCCTCACCATCTCCCAGAGTTTTCCCAAGTTGATGTTCACTGCATTGGTGATGCCGTCCAGCAATCTCATTCTCTGACGCCCTCTTCTTCTGCCCTCAATCTTTCCCAGCATCAAGGACTTTTCCAATGAGTTTTCTGTTCACATCAGGTGACCAAAATACTAGAGCTTCAGCTTCAGCATCAGTCCTTCCAGTGAATATTCAGGGTTTATCTCCCTTAAGATTGCCTGGTTTGATCTCCATGCTGTCCAAGGGACTTTCAGGAATCTTCTCAAGCACCATAGTTCAAAGGCATCAATTCTTTGGTGTTCTGCTTTCTTTACAGTCCAGGTCTCACAACCATATGCGACCATGGGAAGACCATAGCCCTGACTATATGGGTCTTTGCCAGCAGAGTAATGTCTCTGCTCTTCAACATACTGTCTAGCTTTGTCATTGCTTTCCTGCCAAGAAGCAATTGTCTTCTGTTTTCATGGCTGCAGTCACCATCCACAGTGATTTTGGAGCCCAAGAAGAGGAAATCTGTCACTACCTCCACCTTTTCCCCCTCTATT